TATTCATTTTTATAATACCGATGTATATATATATATATATATATATATATATATATATATATATATATATATAATTCATTTTCATCGTTCTTTATCAGTTTATTCAAATTATTATTCAAATTCATTATTCAAATGATAATTCATTACTTTTATTTAGCAAGGACGCATTAAATTAATCAAGTGACAGTAAATAAATTTGTAATGTTACAAAAACTTCTGCTTCAAATAAATACTGTTCTTTTGAACTTTTTATTCAGCAAAAAAACAAAAAAAAAACAGTTTCCACTAAATTAATAATAAGGATTACAAATACTTTCAACATTGATAATAATAAATAAAAAAAAAAAACTTCTGCTTCAAATAAATACTGTTCTTTTGAACTTTTTATTCAGCAAAAAAACAAACAAAAAAACAGTTTCCACTAAATTAATAATAAGGATTACAAATACTTTCAACATTGATAATAATTAAAAAAAAAAAATCTTGAGCAGAAAGTCAGTATATTAGAATGATTTCTGAAGGATCATGTGACACTGAAGACTGGAGGAATGATGCTGAAAATTCAGCTTTGCATCACAGGAATAAATTACAGTTTAAATATATTCTAATAGAAAACAGTTATTATTAAAGTATAATAATATTTCACAATTGTACAGTTTGTATCACATTTTTGATCAAATAAATGTAGTCTTAATGAGCATAAGTGACTTCTTTTAAAAGATATTAAAAAATATTACTGACCCTACATTTTTGAACTGTAGCATATATTCAGATTTCAATATTTTCCTTATTTCTTGCTAAACTAAACATACAACAAGCTTTGCATATACTGATAAAGAAGTAGGTTTGAACATAGCATTTATGACCTTTAAAGTCTTGTGTATTATGTAACCACCTTAAAATGTCAGAACAACTTCACTCTTTGCTGTCAAAGAAGGGCTTAATAGATTAATGCAACATTTATGTGCTACGCTCCTGGGAGCCTCGCTTACAACAAATGAAGGATACAAGGGATTTCTGCACTTAAAGCGCTCTTCTGAGTTTCTGCAAATTACTCGAGCAAATGCTCCATGTCCACAGCAAGCGACAGCTCGATTGAAAGTGCTTCCCTGACTGCTCCAAATCCACTAACTTGATCTAAACACCATAATGACACAGTCGATATGATTGTGATCATTGCAAAATGGGAAGTAAACACGTGTGGATATGCTTCAGCACGAGGCGTCTCGCCCCGCAGCTATAATCAGGCTACCCAATCTCATTCCCAATAATAAAACAATTACCAGCTCCGTCGTACCACAGACCCGGTCGTAAACTGCAGTGACGCTTTAAAGCCTGACATGAGCAAGGCTACATTGGTCGCCAATTTGTTTCACAGTGGTTAAAATGCTAATGAACCCAAGATGTGAGAAAGGTGAAATTACGATGTCTCATTGAGTGCTGAATTAGATTCAAGCAAAGTTTACTTTAAGCAAGATCATTGTTGCATGCGGTTTGTGCAGGTATAAAAATTAGTTTCATTTGAATAATTTTCATCTTCCTTGTTCATTCTGTTTCCCAGGGCTACCACAGACCAAGGCACTACATAGCCACACAAGGTAATTAACAAAACACATAATAAAGGCACAGCATCGGCAAAACCAAGACAAGTCTTCTGACATGAACACAATCTACAGATCTGTCGCTATATCCAATATAAAAAGTATGATTAATGAGAATATCTAAATTTAATGTTGGCTTTTGAATGCTAATTAAAATTAGCGACAGTACCAGTGTACAGTAGATTGTCTGGTTTCTAGCATGCATCTGTGTGATATGCTGAGTCACAGTGCATGCAGCTTTATGGCCTAGCGATTTCATTTTGCACTTCATAGCCTTCTGATTTATGAATTTGATTTGGGGGGGGGGGGTTTAGCATTATTGGTTGTATTTAGTGTAAAATGTTTGTAAATTAAGTTGAATGTCACCCTAATTGAGATCCAATTTGTTTTTATGCAAAGTAAGCATTGCTAAATATCAGCATAGCTCTGCTAGAAATGATTCAGTTTGTTTTTAATATTCACACACGGTTTACTCTTTACAAGAACCAACTCACACCATAAAGTGAACAGTTTAAAGGATTAGTTCACCCAAAAAAGAACATTAGCTGAAAATGTACTCACCTATAGGCCATTCAAGATGTAGATAAGTTTGTTTCTTCATCAGAACAGTATAATCTCCAATTACTTGTGGAGTATTGTGATGTTTTATCAGCTGTTTGGACTCTCATTCTGACGGCACCCATTCACTGCAGAGGATCCATTGATGAGCAAGTAATGCTAAATTTCTCCAAATCTGTTCCGATGAAGAAACAAACTCCAAAATCTACATCTTGGATGACCTGTCATTTTTTTTAATTGAATAAAAATATTAAACAAAATAAGAAATATACTGCAATAATATTATTAGAGCGAAATTTAAAAAATAGTAATTAATAAAAATAAATTGTAAAATTACAATGTACTTTAGATTAGTTAACCTGCATTGGTTAACCATCTTCACAAGAAAGACCGACCTATGATATTTGCTTGCATACTAGCATGCACATTCATGCTGGTCTGCGACTGTCTGTGAATCCATAAGGAAACGTTGCATCTTATTTCTGGTTGTTTTGTGAGTATTGCATGATCCTCTAAATTTGTCCCTCCTCCTCTCCTGTAGGCCCCATGCAGGAAACCGTGAGGGATTTCTGGAGGATGATTTGGCAAGAGAATTCTGCCAGTATCGTCATGGTAACCAACCTGGTGGAAGTGGGCAGGGTAGGGTTCTTGTAATTATCTCTTACCTTAATAAATATCACAAGATTAAGAATGTTATTTACGAAGCGCTCCTCCAATTGTTACATATTTAATTACGGTCTTGTGGTTAAACTGAGTGTATATATAAATCTGTGAGGTGGGTGCTCATGTAATGATTTTGGAAGTAACATCTAGCAAGAAATCCATGCAAACGTGCAATATGTTTCTGTATCTCAAGGAATAGATGATAGCAAGCAACATCTAGGTCGTGGGTTCCATTCCCGTACACATCTTGGATGCACCTACAACATAAATGTTCTTTATTGGCATCAATGGTTCCATGAAAAACCTTTAACATCCATGGACCCTTTCCATTCCACAAAAGGTTCTTTATATACAAGGGAAACTTTAAGCGAGTGAGTCAAGCATTTTGGAGGACATCCTAAAATCGAGCACAATTAGGTGCACAAGTCCTTCACAACATCCCCAACGAGAGCCGTTTGATGTCACGTTGAGTGTAATTGAGCGCTGTTCAATGATTGGCTCCAGTGAACTCGGACCACGGGGGTCGTTCATTCAGAGATAACATCCTGTCTGACAGGTGGCCAATTACACCTCTCTGTTTTCAAAATGTCATCAGGGACTTGTTTAATAATACTGTTTCTGCAAATGCCAATTTGACTTAGACCTTGCTGTAAAATAGAGTGATACTCAGACAAATTAAGATGCAGGTGTTGTGTAATAATGTGTACGTGTGGATTCCTATGTGTCCATTAAGGTGAAATGCGTCCGGTATTGGCCTGATGAGACCGAGGTGTACGGCGACATCAAAGTGACGCTGATTGAAACGGAGCCTCTTGCAGAATACGTGATCAGGACTTTTACTGTTCAGAAGGTAAAAACCCATCCTCCATCTATACACTCATATGAAATATTTCAAGTTTCTCAGTGGTTTCACTTTCATTGCTCAGGTTTCCACAGTTTCCTCATATCAGTTTACATACAAATGGTTCTAAAATGGAATTTAAAAAAAATTTATTCCATACATGTAATGTACCTATATTTAATTTAATATTTAATATACAATTATTAGTATTTATAGAAAAGGAAAAGTAGAATGTGTTTGTGTGTGTGTGTGTGTGTGTGTGTGTGTGTGTGTATACTGAAATAGTAAAATAACAATCGAAAAATGCTATTTTGTTTCTCAAGTACATAAAAATTTTTTTATTTTCAGCACTCTCTGCATGCATCTCTTCATCTAGTCTCATGTTCATCCATACCATATGAACCATCAGCTTGTGTTTAAGCCCATAATGCGTCTCTCACTCAATCAATCAGTTATATTGTTCTTATCATACAGGAACAGCTTGACGTCAGATCTGCATAAATAAAAAAATAAATTTAAAAAATCATAACCACAATGTTCTAACAAAAAAACTTTACGAGATCTTAACATAAGCCAACAGACAATATTTTGCAATGAAAGCGAATCGCAGAGAAAGCTCTTAGAAGCGGGTAGAGTTTTGTTGTTGAGTGTTGTAATCCAAACAGAACAGATGTAGGGAAGCTTTGATAGTGGGAGAAATTAGTGTTTGGGAGTCGTTTTTGAGGGGGAGAGTGCGGTCTGGAACAGCATGTCATCAGCAACTTTCTTAAATCACTCAATCCATCTGTCTCACGAGGCTGCTGCCTTTCAAACGCTTCCTCGACTTTGAAAGAGAGTTGTTAGGGTACATCCTCCTCTCGGCGCATAGTTGTGCTTCATAATGAGTGGGAGCAGAAAATGACTAGAGATGTTTTCTGGTTCCTCTTAGACAGCAATGAGATCAAATGGATATCAAACAGGGACTTTTGCTTAAGTCTTCTGATTCTCAGATGTTTCTCCAGAGAAAAGGCCCTCGAAATCTTGTCTTGTCAAGAGTTTGCTCAAATCTTAAATGAAAATATGTCTAATGAAAACATGTCTAGTTGTTAATTGATTTAATCAAGGATTTATGTGCATTTTTATATTTTATTTTGATAGATTATAAAAGTATATGTATATATAGAACCATTAAGGATTTTTTTTGTTTGTTTTGCATTGTCATTTTTTGAAAATTTAAATAATTTCCCCCAAAATTCTAATTTTCTTAAAAGTGAAATCTATCTATCTATCTATCTGTCTGTCTGTCTTTTTTTTGTTTGTTTTGCATTGTCATTTTTTGAAAATTTAAATAATTTCCCCCAAAATTCTAATTTTCTTAAAAGTGAAATCTATCTATCTATCTATCTATCTGTCTGTCTGTCTGTCTGTCTGTCTGTCTGTCTGTCTGTCTGTCTGTCTGTCTATCTATTTACATGTTCCTCTTAGAGAGATCTGTGACACAACACAGTCACCCATTCTATAGTATTCTGGATTTCAAGAGTTTCATGGTCAAATGGTTTAATTACAGTCATTCAAGAAGATGATCAATTATGAAAGGTGATATTAATATTCAACGTTAGATGGATTAGCTAACTAACCATACTTGAGTGGCCTTATGTGTGTCTAGTTATGGATTTCATTCCCAAATGTTGGATATCAGAGAGTCTTCAGTTGTTGTTTTTTTCCAGCTTTTGTTAGCTCTCGTCATCTTTAGCAGCTCAGTTGCACACACACACACACACAAGCTGCATTAAACGGCTACACGGGTCCTCGCTTGGTGGTATCAGCACCTCCAGGCACGGATTACGCCACTCTCAATCCCATATTATAATTAAAAGCTTATCAGAGCGTTAAGTGCTAGTAAGGAAGTAATGGGAAAATGTTTCTACTGTAACACAACACGGTGTGTGAAAAGCCTCAGCGCTCACACAGATCGAACCACATGTGTAGTTGTGCAGTGGTTCAAACCTTGACCATGAGGCCCTGACTGACATTTCATTGAGTTTTCTGCAGTAATTTTAGGGCAAATCAGAAATTTCTGAAAGTTACAGTTGAGGTCAAAAAGTTTTCACCCCCCGGCTCTCATTGCATGTTATTCCTTCTGGAGCATCAGTGAGCGTTTGAACCTTCTGTAATAGTTGCGTATGAGTCCCTCAGTTGTCTTCAGTGTGAAAAGATGGATCTCAAAATCACACAGTCATTGTTGGAAAGGGTTCACATACACAAAAATGCTGGAAAACCAAAGAATTTGTGGGATTTTTCTGAAGAACAGCAGGCAGTTGAACTGTTCAGGACAAACAAGGGACTCATGAAAAACTATCACTAAACAAAAAACACAGATCATTCAGGTAAGAACACAGTATTAAGACAATTAAGAAATTTTTTATAAATTCAACTATTATTTTTCTCTTGTGGATTATATGTAAACATCTTTTATGTGAAATATCTTATTCAGGTCAGTACTAAATAAGCAATAGCATGCATTTTGTATGATCCCTCTTATTTTGCAGATTCTCAACTGTACAGTGGTGCCTTGACATATTCCATGATAACATAATTATATGAGACCTCAACAATAAAGATCCTACTGATTGATCAATAGTTCAGCAGTTCCTTTTCTTTTCTTTTCTTTTCTTTTGTCAGGTTATCCATAATGTTGTGCCCATTGTATCATGGTATTTACTAGGGCTGTGTATCACCAGCAAAGTCACGCTACGATACATATCACGATACAGAGCCCACGATACGATACATATCACGATACATGACTGCACTGAATTTCATCTCAGCAGAATTTAGAAAAACAGCTGTTTATTAAACACTGCTTACTATAGTGCCATTTCTAACTATTGGCAGAGCAGGCAGCTGACCTCTGCATTATGAAGGGCCTCCATAACTGTACCACAGTACAATATAGGTAATTGCATATGTTTCATGTTTACATTGTGCACTCCCCACCAGGTACAATATTCTGATTGTTTGCATCTTGTTTTTAAGCCCATAAATAATAATGTACTTGTTCTAATAAATGTATATTGTAATGTACTCATTATAATATGTTTAAAAAATAATTTGCATTGCTGGTAGGTTATCATTGCACATATTAACACACTCTCTACAATAAAAAAAAAATAGAAGAGTTCTAAACTAACACGCTGTCTTCACTGTATCTAATGCACACAGGCTCAAGGCTGATTTATACTCGAGCGTCCGCAAGTTCGCTTAGGTGCGCGCAACATCGTTTCGCGTGGCGGTGTGCACGACATTTTTTTAAAGTTTCCGTGCAGCTCCGCTTCCGAAGATGCACGAGTTCAAAGCGACTGTAGCCGAACATGCACGTCTGTGCCAGCATTTGTGTGAAACAGAAGCAGTTTGGTGTTAAGTTCAGTCACACACACAGATCACGCTGCGGCCGAACTCAGACATTCAGGAACAAACCTTTTAGCGCTGCCCCGCAGTTTTATCAACTAAATAGCTTAATCGCTCAAGAGCTACATTATCTTTCTTAACAAGGAGCTGGTAGCATCGATTCTAAAGGAATTAAAGCCACAGCTTTACTGTTAATAGAGAAACGGTGGTAATTCATACATACACTGCCTCTCTCTCTCTCTCTCTCTCCATCGTAAATGAACGGTTGATGAATCAAACTTTTCTGAGAATAGACTTGAAGTGGAGATAGCTAAACTGCAAGCTAAGCGGTGTTTTCAGAAATCAAGCGTGTTTATCCACAGTGGAGAGAGAGCGTGTACACAGGGTTGCCAGGTTGACAAAGATAAGTAGCACACTTAGCAGATATTTCCGTATTGCGCAAGTGTGAAGCTCTGTTTTGGGGATTACGTCTCTGTATATCAGGCAACCCAGTTGTGTTCCTCTGCGGCCAGATTATTAACAGATGCTCTATTCATTCTTTTTTAGAAACCTCGCACTTTTCTACTCAATTTTAAACGTTGTAAAATTAAGCGTGGTCCACTGCTGCACACGTGCCACAGTATCAATACAGGGCCAGCTGTATCGATACTCGTATCGTCAAATCTCTGTGACGATACATCGTCGTATCGATATTTTGAACACAGCACTAGTATTTACACGGTATACACAGCCTAAAAATACCACATGGTGTTGATTGTTTTTGACATACATTTATTGGGTCTAGTAATCCTAGCAATCTTCTGTCATAATCACCTACCTATTACCCTCAGATTATGACACCTGTTGATATTAAGCTCACCACATGCTCCTGTTTGCAGAAGGGTCACCATGAGATTCGGGAAATCCGGCAGTTCCATTTCACCAGCTGGCCCGATCACGGCGTTCCCTGCTACGCCACAGGCCTGCTGGGCTTCATCCGCCAGGTCAAGTTCCTCAATCCTCCAGACGCAGGACCCATCGTGGTACACTGCAGGTGTGCTCTTATCCTAGCTTCTCTTGGATCTCTTCCTACAGTCCCTTTCTCACTCTTAATACGTACATTTATTGTAAGTCAAAGGTTCTGGTTTAAAGTTGGACTGATGGTGCGATAATGAATCTACAATGAGAGGTCTATTGATTATTTAAATAAGACATAAGCTGTGTCCCAAATGACGCACTATACACTTCCTCCAGACGCAGGACCCATCGTGGTACACTGCAGGTGTGCTCTTACCCTAACTTCTCTTGCATCTCTTCCTACAGTCCCTTTCTCACTCTTAATACGTACATTTATTGTAAGTCAAAGGTTCTGGTTTAAAGTTGGACTGATGGTGCGATAATGAATCTACAATGAGAGGTCTATTGTTTATTTAAATAAGACATAAGCTGTGTCCCAAATGACGCACTATACACTATGCACTCATACACTATGTACTTATGCACTATATACTCAACCATGTATAGTATGAATTATATAAGTTTATTTTGTCATTCATAATCGGAGTCTCATAGCCCCTCCCCTTTGGTACGTAATTAAAGCTGCGACAATTGAGTGCATGAAGTGTCCCAACACTCCACACTTCATTTTTTCGGTTATTTAAGTGCATCATCCGGGTATTTAAAAATTTTCAGTGTGAACGCACTACTCGCACTATTTATACTACAAAACGTCATAGAATAGTGTATAAGTACGCGATTTGGGACGCACCTATACTCTCTGAGGACTCTCAGTGGCTGCTATGAATCTACTGTAATATTTTTAAATGCTGGTGTAGGTTTGTTTACTGGTCCTCAGGCTGCTCTGTGTAGTTTGTTAATATGGATGTCACTAGATAAAATAAATAATAATAATAACATTTAAATTAATATAAAAAATTATAATTAATTTGATTTGCTAACATTTTAGAACAAAACTAGCTAAGTAAGGCTATGCAGTTGCTAAATTATTCTGAGAGGTTGCTTACTGGCTAAAGTTCAAAGAGCCCAAGCATTATTGTTTTTATATTATTAACTAAAACTATTAAAAATAATATTTGGTAGTTGAAATAAAGCACAAAAAGAACAAAACTACATTACAAAACCTTGAAAACTGAAAATATAAAAATAAAAGCTCATTTAAAATATTCAAAACTAAATAAACTAAAAATGAAGCTAATAACACAGATAAACTAAAAACTTAAAATTAAAAAGAAAACTGGAAATATTCAAATAAAAGCTCATTTAAAATATTATAAACAAAAGGGAAAAAATACAAAATTACAAAAACACAAAATTAAAATGAAAACTGAAAATATAAAAATAAAAGCTAATTTAAAATATTATAAACAAAAGCATAAAACAAAATTACAAAAACCCAGCATTAAAATGAAAACTGAAAATATAAAAATGAAAGCTCATTTAAAATATTATTAATAATAATATATGGTATTTATGGTATATAACGAAATCAAAAAAAAAATGATGATACTTTTACATGTCGAGCTTCCATGATGTTAAATTCTGCCATACAAACATTGCCCTTCAGAAGGTCTTGCTCCATCATTTACTGATAAACAAGAGCTATTTTATTCCCATGCATCTTTAGAACCAATTGAAACCATTTTAATGTGAAATTAGGTGAAAGCATTCATTTTGTTAAATGTGTTTAAACATTTATTTTATCTCAAATGTTTGACAGTCCAGATGATCGTTTGCTGGCAGCGTAACTAACTTCTCATGTAACAGTAAAAGAACTCAGGGAGATACAAGAGAAGACGATTTTCACACATCCATGAGCACTCACACATTCTCACACAAACGTAGGACGCTTCGGCACATGGATAGACATTCACCCATGAATCTGTCCACAACATGCCCACGTGCTCACAGATGGATGCACGGATAGACAGACTCGCTCTCACAATTGTGGGGAGTAATTGGGGGCCGTGTGGGAAGAAGGTTTGAGAATGAAAGGTGACAGCAGGAGACTGTGAAGTGGCAGTGTAAATTTGCAGTCGGCCCTGCAATCCCAGAGACGAAGCAGATGTGACAAAGAAACTTTCAGTGCGGATTAGCCCAAGTGTCAGGGGCTCCTGGTGCAGAGATTAAGATTTTGATTCAAGCAGTAGTTTTTCAGAATGTTCCGAACATTATTTCTTACTTCCATGAAACACAAAAGGAGTTTTAGCAGAATGTCCTGGCTGCTCGCAACAAGTTTGATGTCAGTAATAGGATATGTAAGAACCAGTAATGTTGGTCACTGTCATCAAACCTGTCACATCAGTGTGTGTGTGTGTGTGAGTGAGTGTCGTTTTAGCCTGACTGATGGCACATCTTCTGTCCAAATGCTCTCTCACACACACATGCATCTTGGTCTGCCAGAGCCTTGTTTTCGTAACACCTAACATTTGGATCTTAGCAGAAGTCTCAGTCTTATGAATGTATTGTGTGTGGGGGTCAGGTTTTGGCCATGTTGTGAGGACAGAATGTACCCAAAAACATAGTAAAAGCTTAAAATCATGACATGTACAGTGTGGGGATCTGGCAAAATATAATGTCTTAAATATACAGGGGGGAAAAATAAAACTATTTAAATTTCTGTAGGTTATGTTTATCACTAGGGTTAGCAAATATTTTATTACATATAAATATATAAAAATGTATTTCTATTTAATGATAAATGAATATATAGAAGTCTTCCATGCTCACTAAGGCTGCATTTATTTGATTAAAAAATATAGTAAAAACAGTGTGCCATATTATTATAACAAAAAAAGCTGTTTTCAATTTTAATATACAGTATATTTTCAGCAGACCCTTCAGAAGTCTTTCTAATATGCTGATTTCCCGCACAAACAAACTTTTTTTTTATTGTTAGCAGTGTTGAAAACAGTTGTGCTTAATATTTTTGTGAAAATTATACTTTTTGTCTTTGAATAGGCCGTTTAAAAGAACAGTATCTGAAATATAATTTTGCAACAGTATTAATGGCACTTTAATTACAGTCTTACAGCAGAAATGGAGCTGGTAGAAGGTTATCATGAGGTAAAAAAGCCTGCCGCAAACCTGTTCTTCTGTATTTTCCGCAGTGCTGGTGCTGGAAGAACAGGCTGTTTCATTGCAGTGGACATTATGTTGGACATGGCAGAGAGTGAAGGTGTGGTGGACATCTTTAACTGCATCAGAGAGCTGCGCTCGCAGAGAGTCAACATGGTCCAGACGGAGGTGAGCAGAACGACAAGAGTTTGTCAGTCGGGCAGCCAGATTATGCACAAGCTTATATACTCATTCATTCATTTACTAAATGATTCATTATTTCACACATTATTCTCTTACTTACCGTTCACTATTTTACTTACTTCTCAATCACGCACTCAGAACCTCACTCACACTCACATAGCCTTTTACTAAGCTCTCTAGTCTGTGAAGATGATATTGAATCCATCTATTTTCAGCTTAAAACTTAGATAACATTTCTCTTCCCTACATTAATCTCCACACTGTAACATCAAAACAGCCAGAACATGAAATTGCCTTGGCTCTGACAGGCGGATTCCCTACCCAGAAATGATTGGATGTTGGAATTCAAAGTCATGACCCCTAGTGGTGAAAATTTGTATTGCACTATGCATTAGTTATTTTTGTGTTTTGCTTTTTGCTTTTTAATGCAACTAGGGATGTTAATTTTAACCGACAGAATTTTGGCTGATTAATACAATCAGTTAAACGGTTTAAAAAGTAGTTTTTTTTTTCAGTAATTTATCAAAATATTTAAAAAGTATAAATACGCTACTCGTATAAAAAAAAGTTTTTTAGCGAAAAAAAAAACATAAGTCGCATTTTATTATTTCATTCAGAAATAGGCCTAATGCCGACGCGAAATGTTTACAAACATTATAATAAACAAGGTTTGCCTTTATTTGTGTACATTCACAATAAAAACAAATCTTTGTGCTTTTGTAAAATAAGCCTAAAGAAAAATAGGATGCCGCTTTCTGCCGTCTGTTTCCTTTCACGCAGCACAAAAATTAAGCTCTGCATACTAGGCAACTTGTCGCACATTTTTTTAAAAATAAATATTATATATATTTATATATACATTTTTATTTACATGTATATAAATTAGGAATTAACAAATATTAAAAACTTCATAAAGACTTCCTTATTCACCTTCAGTTCGTCTTCTTTATTGGCCACCTGAATGAGGCTGGACTCCAGCAAGTTCTCCATCTCATAGTTGAGGTATATCTATGATGAAAATTACAGGCCTCTCTCATCTTTTTAAGTGGGAGAACTTGCACAATTGGTAGCTGACTAAATACTTTTTTTCCCCACTGTATATATATATATATATATATATATATATATATTATTGTTGTTGTTTAAATAATAATGATTATTTATGCTCACTAAATAACATACTATATCAAGTCAACATGCCGTTTTATTCGATATATTCTAATATTGCATGTTTTTTTGGATGTATGCTATGGATGTAACACTAAACACAGTGGTGGTAATAATGGCTTCTGGGAGGCAATTTGTGTCAGCCTGCAGCTCCATTCAAAGATAATTCTCCACAGACACAACACACAGCAATTCATCTTTTAAAAGGCTTTTTCCTCGTCTTTTGTCCTCAACCCTCCGCAGAAGTGCTCACCAGGTTATGGAGTAATAGGTACGAGAGGTCAATCCAGCTTGACTTTAGCTTAGCGTGGATCAAAGGCCTACATTAGCATTCAAACCTTTAAGCCGGAGGCATTGTTGAGTTAAAATATGGATAATTCCGGCCCATATTTGGGGCCTGGGTTTAAGAAGGAGTTTAATATTAGCTGCAGGATGGGGATGGTGCTTTGAGTGCCCCCTTGATCTCGTTTTTAAGGCCGCAGTTGGAACGGTTTAGGAGGATGTTGCTGTCACTGCAGGATTTCAGCATCAGAAGCTGCAGTGCTGTAATCCATGTAAAACATCCCTGAGGCTGGAGTCATTTCGCCATCAGCAAATTGCGCTTCATGCATCAACGTTCATGTACCGCTCTTATGCTAACTTTTGCATGGAGTATCGACTCTATATTTCCCTGATGATTTGCTATGATGCTGTGTGCGATCGCTCTCAGCTTGAGGTTGGGCTTTTTAAACGTATGTGTTTGGATGTTCATGAATTATGAAGATTGGATGGTTTGAAGATGTGAACGTTTAAATCAAACCCTTAATTATTTTCAAGTTGTTTTTATTATCAAAAAATTAGTGCTAAAATGCCGTATGGAGGTTTTCCCCTCATGTGGCCTACAAGCTACCAGCCGTTTATAATAAATTTGAATCAGCAAGATAATTAAAAGTATCTTCAATAGGGTTGAATTGCAAATCTGAGATTGCATTACATTTAAATATTAAACTGATTAAATAAAATGAAAGTATGTTTTTTAGAACACACACACACACAGGTATAAAGACTACCATTCAGATGTTTTTTTTATTTTTTTTATGTTTTTGAAAGAAGTGTCTTGTGCACAGCAAGGCTGCATTTATACAATACATAACATACAAATTATTTGAAACATGGTGCTTTCATATATGCTCTTACCATGATATTAGCATGTCTTACCATGAGTGTACCACAGTATTTTCTGTAAGTGTTGATATCTATGTCTCTCTCTCTGCAGGAGCAGTATGTGTTTGTGCATGATGCCATTCTGGAAGCGTGTTTGTGTGGGAACACGGCTATCCCAGTGTGTGAATTCAGAGCCATCTACTACAACATCAGCAGACTGGACCCTCAGACCAACTCCAGCCAGATCAAAGATGAGTTTCAGGTGAGCTGTCTGATCAAATGGATCCATTTCCACCAAAATAATGTTCTTCTTCATATGTAGAGTACTTCTAAAATGTGAACATACCATCAATGCAACAGTTGATATTTTGCACAGCAAAACAATAAGCAAATTACTATATCAAGAGGGAACATTGCTCTTTCATAACACAGACCTAAAACATTACAGTGTCATTTAGTCTTAGAAGAACTTGACGAGATATGTTTGCGTTCATACTGAGATCTGATTTCAGACTTTGAGCACAATCTGTGACATTGCAGAAATCTGATTTCTGCAGTAGAATTGATCTACTTTCTCAGTATATATTCCTCCATTTGCTCTTCATTCAATCTCATTACAGTCTAGGATGAGCAAATGAAAGAGCTCTCATTTGGGATTGATCTTTCCTCTGAGTCTTAAAAACAGTAGGAACATGCATTTGTTTCAAACTTCATGCTTCGTGTTTCTGCAGCTCTTTAAACTATAATCAGCGAGCTACAAAATCAGCCCATGTGGAGGCCTAATTTACTGAATCCTCCAAGGTTTTTGCTGTAGACTGGCAGTGCTGCATTATGGCTGAAGGCCTCTCAGCTATTTCTAACAACTTTATCAAGCTCTCTGGTGTGATTTCATCATGATTACTCCTAGATTCAAAGTGCTTTTGAATAAGTCAATCGGCAAAGTGCTACGGCTTCCTTAACACATTTCGATGAGGCAGGTGAGTAAAGACACGGTGACTCAAACGTCTTGGGAGAAAGTGTTTCTTTACGAGCCATCAGTGAGCTGCTAGAGCCCCAAAAAGCCTAGAGCTGAGATATTTCTTTTCATGGTGCCTTCATGTTTTGTATTCCCTGTGAAATGAGCGAGCCGCTACCGTCTGTGGGAGAAGCAAAGCTTCAGATCTGTGAGGTGTCTCATAAAATATGATGAATATGTTTATATCTTTCTTTCCTCCCAGATCTTTCGTTTTCTATCTAGCGCTGCATCTTTCTCGCTTGTAAGCCACTTTTCCCTGTCTGTCTCTCTCTCTCTCCCTCAACGTCTCTGTTCTTCAGTCTGTCTTATACATAAGTAATGACTGACCTTCGGTTTACTAAAATATTTGCATTGCTTGTGGTTGGACCAGCAGTGAGAGCGGAATTGGTTTTATAAACACACCATTTTCCCCCCCAAGTAAGACCAAGAGCAGCCTAATGTTTTTCTATATTTTAAAGGTGTATGTTACAGTCCTTCATGTCTTCTTCTTCAGACTCTGAATATAGTGACACCGCGTGTCCGTCCGGAGGACTGCAGCGTAGGTCTGCTCCCGCGTAACCACGATAAGAACCGCAGCATGGACGTCCTCGCAGTGGACCGCTGCCTGCCTTTCCTCATTTCTGTTGACGGCGAGTCCAGCAATTACATCAATGCAGCACTGATGGATGTAAGTTTGATCCCTTTTGTTAGAGGTCACCTCTGACCCCTAGATGTAGAATATGGTCATGTGTGTTAGTGCTAATAAGCTAATAAATTTGTGCTAATAAACAGCCAATATGTTAATAATAGGCATGGTAATAAGCAACTAGTTAATAGTGAGAACTGGTCCCTATACTAAAGTAATACCAAAAATCTAGTATAATTGCATTCTGTTGTCAATCTTGCACTGAACTTTAAAGGGGTCATATTATATATACTTTTTTCCACTTATAATACTCAGACATAATTTGTAATTTCATAATTTAGTCATTTTAGTCCGAATTTAGATATTCATTCATTTTACATCCTTTTTTAAAAATGTATCTTGAAACTACAGGCTGCTTGTAATTTCAAGTAAGTTCAAGATTCAAGCTACTCTTTTGAAAAGGTAGCTAGCTATAAGCTAGTAACAAGTATCTAGCTTAAAGGTGCCATAAAATGCATTGATACAATATTTTAAATTGTTCTCTGATGTTCCCAGAGTTTGTATGTGAAGTTTTATCTCAAAATACCCCACAGATCATTTTTTATAGCTTGTTCAAATATGTTTTGTATTCCCTGTGAAATGAGCGAGCCACTACCGTCTGAGGGGGAAGCAAAGCTTCAGATCTGTGAGGTGTCTCATAAAATATGATGAATATGTTTATATCTTTCTTTCCTCCCAGATCTTTCGTTTTCTATCTAGCGCTGCATCTTTCTCTGTTGTAAGCTATTTTTCACTGTGTCTCTCTCTCCCTCAACGTCTCTGTTCTTCAGTCTGTCTTATACATAAGTAATGACTGACCTTCGGTTTACTAAAATATTTGCATTGCTTGTGGTTGGACCAGCAGTGAGAGCGGAATTGGTTTTATAAACACACCATTTTCCCCCCCAAGTAAGACCAAGAGCAGCCTAATGTTTTTCTATATTTTAAAGGTGTATGTTACAGTCCTTCATGTCTTCTTCTTCAGACTCTGAATATAGTGACACCGCGTGTCCGTCCGGAGGACTGCAGCGTAGGTCTGCTCCCGCGTAACCACGATAAGAACCGCAGCATGGACGTCCTCGCAGTGGACCGCTGCCTGCCTTTCCTCATTTCTGTTGACGGCGAGTCCAGCAATTACATCAATGCAGCACTGATGGATGTAAGTTTGATCCCTTTTGTTAGAGGTCACCTCTGACCCCTAGATGTAGAATATGGTCATGTGTGTTAGTGCTAATAAGCTAATAAATTTGTGCTAATAAACAGCCAATATGTTAATAATAGGCATGGTAATAAGCAACTAGTTAATAGTGAGAACTGGTCCCTATACTAAAGTAATACCAAAAATCTAGTATAATTGCATTCTGTTGTCAATCTTGCACTGAACTTTAAAGGGGTCATATTATATATACTTTTTTCCACTTATAATACTCAGACATAATTTGTAATTTCATAATTTAGTCATTTTAGTCCGAATTTAGATATTCATTCATTTTACATCCTTTTTTAAAAATGTATCTTGAAACTACAGGTTGCTTGTAATTTCAAGTAAGTTCAAGATTCAAGCTACTCTTTTGAAAAGGTAGCTAGCTATAAGCTAGTAACAAGTATCTAGCTTAAAGGTGCCATAAAATGCATTGATACAATATTTTAAATTGTTCTCTGATGTTCCCAGAGTGTTTAGGTGAAGTTTTATCTCAAAATACCCCACAGATCATTTTTTATAGCTTGTTCAAATAGCCACTTTCAGGGTATGAGCCAAAACGTGCTGTTTTTGTGTTTGTCCCCTTTAAATGAAAATGAGCTGGTGCTCCCGCCTCCCTTTTCAGAAGAGTGCGGAGCTTCAGGAGCTCATGCTCGCAGGGATACCGGCGTTGCGGTTTAACTGGTGGTGACCGTGTTACTGACCTCACATTGCTTCCAAATGCAATTTTTAACTACCACATTCCTATTTACGATCATTCTGGTAGCACGTGAAGGCAGCATTAGTGAAAACAGGCAGAGACAATGGTAGTTTTAGCAACATTAGCCTTACAGAGAGCCAAGAAGCTCTTTTGGAAAACAAAATATGAGGCGTGATGCTTACTTTGTCTGGAGTCTGGACATTTGCGCACAAAGCGTTGGTATCGATCCCTCTTTCAGAAGCAATCTTTGCACAACTCCAGCACTGAACTGACTGTTGTTTGTGAGGCAGTCCGGCATAAAATGTTAGCACAAAAGTATAGGACTTTTCCATTTTTTTCCGGGACATTTCCTTCGAAAATGAAATTTAACCACCGTGTCCTCAGCGGTCTATGGAGACTCTGTTTGTTGGTGCATCCCAACACACGACACTTTTAATGGCTCTTTGGCGCTGACATTGTATCTCCAGCAGCTACAGCAAGAAAATAGTAATGGCGGACCGCTGCTTCTCACTCACGGCTGTGTATATGCTAATAGGGCAGAGAGCGTCACAAATGGGCGGGACTTTCCCCGAGTATGACATCATAGTAGTGAGAAATCTGGAACTGCTAGTGTGGAGAGAATGTTTATGATTTATTGGGATTATAAAACAATGAGTGGGTGAATTTATACCATTATAGGCTGGTTGTTTTCACACACTGTGGCCACACAACTGTGATTTTTGCATTCTATGGCACCTTTAAGTTACTTATGACACACAAAACAATAAGGGGTTTTGAGCGAATAAACTCAGAATGAGTACACTCTGATCAATTCCAGGTAAGTGGAGCAGCAGAAAGGCCAGGAGATCGCACAGTAACAATCTCATGTAAACAAGCCAATTTAACAGAGTACAAGATTAGATCACATCTCCGTAATCGCCACACATAGATCATAAGCACACTCGTACCATAAACCAGCATCTTTATTTAGCATCCAAAAAGGATAATCAAGACAGAAGGCACGCACCTCAGATAAAGAACAACAAGATGAAAAGAAGAAAAGCAGCAAATGAAATGAACGGCCGTCCCGTGCTAGCAGAGCGTGTGTTTGTCTCAAACGAAGCCTCGGCAGTCCATGTCAATGAATCCCTCGGCAAGGTTATCACTCAGTCTCTATGTCTTTCCTGTCCCTCTGCAGGTCTCCATTTAGTTTAGGTCATTACACATGTGAGGCACGTTGGGATGTGTAGGGTTCAGGCACATCTTCAGTGCTGGAAGGAAGAGTTAACTTGTTCTCTTATTGATTGTCCTAGAGCCACAAACAGCCGGCGGCTTTCATTGTAACGCAGCACCCTCTGCCCAACACCGTGGCCGACTTCTGGAGGCTAGTGTTTGACTACAACTGCTCCACTATTGTGATGCTGAATGAAATGGATGCTGCACAGGTATGTGAAGTACTTGACCCTCACCACCATTTGTTATCTGTTGCAATTGGATGTTGGAAGATGGGATTTATTTTCCTCCTAGTGTTGTATTAATTTTTGTGGATGAGGCTCAATCCAGAAAGGATTGCAGCGTAAATTAAAAAGTCTTTATGAACACATTAATATAATAAATTAGTTTTATATAAAGTATACGTTACCATTCAAAAGTTTGTGGTTAGTATTTTTTTTTTTTATAAATGAATGCTTTTATTCAGCAAGCACACATTACATTGATCATTATTTTGAAAAGAAAATGGATTCTACAGAAATATTAAGCAGCACAACCGTTTTCAACATTGATGATAATCAGAAATGTTTCTTGAGCAAATCAGCATATTAGAAAATTTTTTGAAGGATCATGTGACACTGAAGACTGGATTAATGATGCTGAAAATTCAGCTTTGCCAATAATAATAAATTGCATTTTAAAAATATTTTTAAATACAAAACAGCCATTTTAAATTGTAATAATATTTCACATTATTGCTTCTTTTATTGTATTTTTGTTCAAATAAATATAGCCTTGTTGAGTGTAAAAATAGTACAAACACCAAGCTTTTGAAAGGTAGTGTATATATGAAATATAACATATATATATATATATATATATATATATATATATATATATATATATATATATATATATATATATATATATATAGATAGA